GAAGAGAAAGAGGTAGGGGGGATAGTAGGTCAGTGGTAGAAGGTGATACCAGGCTCTTGGGTGGCCAAGAGCAGATTTCTACCAAGATCCACAGGATCTTGGCCTTCAAAATGCTGATGGCCTGCTGCCACAGCTAAATAAAAAGGAGGTGATGATGATCTAGGGTTGGCTGAGATCTTGATCAGCCACCCTGCTGCCACAGTCACACAGCCCCCAAGCCAGGGGGTGATCTTGAGCTGTTGCCAAACTGTTGTTCCAACAGTGAAGAGTAGTAAAAATATATATATATATATATATGGTGCAGCCCCCTAGCCAGGGGGGTCTTCAACAGGTGTCCACGTGGCAGTGCAGATTGCCACGTCTGCAGGCACCAGCAGCCACGGCGTGGGGGGAAGGGGGGGGGGCAAATAGCTTCGCAGCACGCTGTTCGCTGCTTGCCGACCGGGCGGGGGGGGGGGGGGGGGGGGGGGGGGGGGGGGGGGGAGGGAGGCCGCCGTAGCCCAGGCGTTGGCAGACGTCTGGGGGGCGGGGGGGGGGGGGGGGGTGGTAAATAGCCAGCACGGCACCTCTTCAACATGAGTGTGTCGTATTACAGGGCTATGTACACACTGTGGCGAGTGTGTTATCAGGGTGTTTACGCACGCGCATGGCCCAACAGTTGCTTGGGTTCAAACTCCGGCGGCAGCAAAAATCCCGAATCTTGATAATGTAAATCTGGGAGCGGGGCGGGGCAGCGTGGGCGAGGGGCGCGCACGCACGTGCGGCACACGCTCGTCGTGACCTGTGCTTTTTCCGCCACATGTCATGTCCTGCTGCAGTCTCTTTTTCCCCCCGTTTTCACCGAAAAACGGCCTGGAAACAGCCAAAAACCCGTCTGTTGGGTTTTGCTGTATTCCCAGCTGTACGGGGTGGTAGGTGGGAGCCGGGAACGTTCCCGCTCTGATACCAATGTGGCGGACCCACCGGGAAGGTAAGGTGGTCCGCCTGGGATTTTGATAGAGATGGAGGATGAGGGAGGAGCGAGATGGCACAACGCAACTCCCACGCAAGACTCCAACGCACGTACTCCAAAATCGTGCAAGTGTAGAATGATAGCGAATACAGACAACAGTTGGGGTATACCCCAGCGGACTGACGGGACTGGACTGGACTGGCTGGTACCGACAGAGGTACCGGCCTGGACTGGACGGCCCCGAATAAAACACAGGCCTGTGAGAACAGGCCAAGGGGCTGGTCTCACAAGCCAACCAGAGGTCCGCTACAAAACTTCTGAGTTTTCTGAGTGTGGCCCCCAGCAAGCCTCGTGCCCGCCCGAAGTGAAGGCGGGCCTGAATATTCACGAGAGACCCTTATCTCAACATTTTCTAATGGGGGTCTCAGACAATTGTTGCACGACAGTTGGTTGAAGTACAACCGGAGCCCTACCCTGGGCTTTTCCAGAAGAAGCAACTGCACCGGGCATTTGAGCCCAGGGCCCGGGTGGTTGTGCCCTGGCCACATGCCT